TTGAATTTCGAGACCCGATATTTGGTGACAGTATTGGAAATGTATTTGAATGAGTGCTTCGGTTCGTTATAGTTATAAGAGATGCCGTGAGCGGAGGCCATACCGACCTCTTTGGTCCAGCGCTCGGGGTTTTTGCCGATATAGACGAAAGCCCAGTTGCCTTTGGCCTCGTACTGAGCGATGAATCGCCGGATCTGCTCTTTGGTCGTGTCTTTAGAGCAGTTCTCTTCGCCATCAGTAATGATAACGCAAATGACTTTCTCGTTCTCGATGTCATCCGTGTCCTCCTCTGCGATGTGTATGCCTTCGGATATGGCGTCAAACAGAGCCGTCCGACCGCACGGGCTGTACATCGAGTGCTTCAGTTCGGGCACATCCGCGACGTTAATGCCTGTGTTTGCAATCAATTACAAAAACTAATTTAGTTACAATTATTTTAACAAGTATTTAATTGATTATTATAAACTTGGTTATAAATTATAATGATTGAATGCTTACCGGAATAAACAATATTGACGTTTGTATTGAATTTGACTAAATAGAGGACAGAAGTGTCACATTTGAGACGTTTCTGTTCCCTAAGGAATGCATTGAAACCTCCGATCACTTCATTCCTCTTCTTCCGCATTGACAACGACTCGTCCAAAAGGATAATGATTTTAGTCTTCATTGTTGTCGAGGTTTTGTTGTGGTATTTGTGTATCATTTAAATAAAGTAAAGAATTATTTGAAAGAATTTTAATATTCTTTAAGTGAGAAATTGTTTGCAGACTTTGAGGACTCAATCAAATGATTTGATGAATTGGTTAGGAATGGACTTATTATGACATTTATATACTATATTTGAGTTTAAGAGCAAACAGTTAGACAAATAATAAATGGATGATAAGGGAGAAGAAAAATTGAATAACAAATTCATCTCTTTTGCCCGTTTTAGGCAATAATAGCCGTAAAGATCCTAAAACTTTACGACTTAATCGCAGCAAATCATAACTTTTTATGAGATCATTGATAAGCCATTTGATAAACACGTGAAGAAATGAAATATTTATTACAGAATTTATTTAATTATCTCAATTCTTTATCTCAATCTCGAAATAATAATCTCATATCTGGTAATTAGATACACAATTTATGGGCATTTATTAAACACTTTAATTAGTATTTTATCATTGCTTTCATTGCTTTCAATAGAAATCTGTGCTAAAAATATCTGATTTTATCTAAAAAACTTGCGCTAAAACTGAGATTATATTCCGTTTCCCGTCATATATCACATCTGATGAGAGGCACAACTCATTTGTTTTTTATCCACAAATAGCTTAATAAATCATTATTTGCATTATATTTCCCGTTCAACTCCTGTTTTCGCAAATTATTTAATTAATCTCGTTTTTACCCTATTTTCTCGTACATAAGCAATATACAACATTTAAAAAGGTACATGCAATTGACTCCAAGATACTAGTTTTAATCACAATAAACTTAAAATTTCCATGTAGATAATCATTATCTACAAGGGTTATCAAATGATGTTTAAAATTAATCTCAAAATTAATCCTTAAAAATTAAGTTTACATTTATTTGTAATTAATAAACAGATAAACGATATACGACTGGAATTCAGGTAAATGTTTAAAATTGATTATTTTTAGAGCTATTTTAATAAAAACTTTTAATTATCTATTTAATTATAAGTTGATTACACTTTTGATCTGAAAGCAAACCAATGGTTAAAAATAAGATCAAAGGTTTGTCTCGTAATAAACGAAAGTTAATTAATTTTTGAGACAAAAGAGTCTTATTATTACTGTTTTACAAATAGGGTTTTGCGCTTTAATTGTTTACTTTGTCTCACATTTATTTACATTTAATTAGTTTATGATTGTATACAAAAAATATATAATTTTCATGTCAATGGACTGTATTTAGGAACAACTTTCAAACAGAATAAAAACTAAATAAAACAATAATAACAACAATATTTCATAATATAATAATCTAATCAAATGTTATTTTCTGATTGTTAACAATGATATATCAAATGATTTCACAATACCATGAATTATAAAGGGGTGATAAAAGGCATCATTTAATAAATTAGATTATATTTTAAATGTATTTTATCTCTATTACCATAAAATCAGTTGTGAAACAAACAGAGTGTGAGTCAAATATATCTTTGGTTTTTATTATAGATAAACACAATTTAATGGGTATTTTGATTGTAATTAAAATATTTTCTTATAATTAATGTATTTCTTGTTTATTCCGTTGAAATTTTTATTTGTTTTTAAATACTTTCAATAAATTCCTGGAATTCCAGAATCTCATGTGATTTGTTATTTAATTGCAATTTTATTTTGCTTTTACTTAAATTACTTTCAATTCATTCATAAATTGATAAATACTTTATTGTAATGAATTTTCTTATAAATATTATGGAAAGTTTTCTGAAAATAAAAATTTAGATTAATTACAAAAACAATGTTAATTAGTATTTGTGATAAAAAGTAACAATTTATATTAAAATAATGTAAATAAAATAATTAAGTGTATAAAATTTCCAGAATTACCCTAATTGAGATAGATATAGATATGTACTAAAATGACTTATAACACCCGTGAAAGTTATTAAGCAAATTATTGACAACATTGACCAAATCATAACAACCTATCAGTCGGGTCTCTCAGAGACAATGGGTTTAATGTTTGTGACAAACATTGTAGTTGCAAATAATCATTAAAATTAGTTAAAAGATTACATCAATTATTGCAGTGCTAAATGTAAATGTAAATTTAATTGTCTGATGTAGGGTAAACTAAATTGATTGATTTACCATTTGATCTTATTTATTTAGATAATTAGACCACATTATTGTTTAGATCCTGCATTTTATTGCATATTAATACATAATTTTGCAATTAATTATCTGAAGTGCAGTTTAGTCTAAAACATGTAATAAAATCTTTGATTATAATTTAATTGTTTTTATAATAATCTTAATTTAGATAAAGAGTCGTTATTTAATGTTATTTTCAAGAACTGATGTCTTTGTGTAAAGAAAATAGAAATTAATTGTAAATATGATATGAGAAGAAGTGGAGCCACTATTTAATATGTAATGATTATAATCGTCTCAATTATTTATGCATTATTTGTGGAAAACATTATAATTTATGATAAAATGTTGATATAATTAATAACTGATTGTTATGAACATTATTTAGATGTGATTTCAAACATGTAACACTCTTTAAAGTGATTTCATTATAAGTTAAATAAACAACTAATAAATATTGCAATATTAATATCTCTTTTATAAATTATAATTAAATTACTTTAAATTAAACAGTTTATAATATAAATATTATTTGTTCATAAAGCAGTAATACCCCGATCATTATGTTCTGAAAACGCAGTTGATGATTTACTGATGAGCTATGATGATTAGATAATTTTAAAATTATTTTTATATAGTAATAATGCTAATTAATTAATCAATACTGTATAACTTTTTAATTTTCTCTTTAACCAACTGTCAAATAATCAAAACATAACAGTAAATAAATACATTGTAAAGTAAGCATGTTTATATCTAACTTAATAAATTATGTAAATTAGCTTGATTATACTTTAGTCATATGAATATACATTAGGACACATTATATAAAAATTATATCGTTAACATAGTTATGCTACAGTATGTACAAAATAATGCAATTTGTTTTATGCTGAATAAATAACATGTACAAATTAGTGTTTTATAATTAAATGCAATAATTTATCTCATTTCATAGCGTATAGAATATTCATTGAAATTACATTTGAGACCTAAACCGATAAAACCATAAAATATGAAAATTACTGTAATTTTATTATTATTTGCAATTGTAGTGAATGAATGCTTCAATACTGTTACCGGTATGTAATTTAAAAATTATAATCAGCAAAATAATTAATAAATAACAAATAATTCTTAATCCAATAATCAGGTAAAACGTGTACCAAAAGCAATGAAGAGCACAATTCGTGCGGTTCTTCATGTGCTAAGACGTGTCAAAACCAGAATAAGCAGATGATGTGCGCCTCCGTCTGTAAGGACGGCTGTTATTGTAAAAAGGGTTATATTAGAGATGAGAAGAGCGGGCAATGTGTCTCTCCTGATAAATGTCCCAAATAAGAGACCCTCATGTTTAATGATGCACAATATTTAACATGTATTGAATAAAATAAATTTCAGAATTATTATATTTTCTATGAATAAAATGCAATTAATTATTTTAATGTCATACTTTATTTGTAATCCAATACTATATTCACTGATAACACATTTGCGAAAAATTTGACAAAATAAAAAACATGAAATTTATTATAGTTTTTCTGTTAGTTGTAATTATTTTAAACCAATACTTGGTCAACAGTGAGGGTACGTAGAAATGCATAATTATAATTGTACCATGATTGAATGCTAATTGAATAACTGAATGCAATAATAAGGAACAATATGTACGAAAAGCAATGAAGAGCACAATTCTTGCGGTTCGTGTGAAAAGACGTGTCAAAACAAGGATAAGGGGTTGATGTGCGCCGCCGTCTGTAAGGACGGGTGTTATTGTAAAGAGGGTTATATTCGAGATGAAGAGAGTGGTCAATGTATCTCTCCTAATAAATGTCCCAAGGTTGTAATCTTGAACAAAAATTTGGTCAACATTGAGGGTACGTAGAAATTGTACCATGATTAAATGCTAATTGAATAACTGAATCCAATAATAAGGCACAATATGTACGAAAAGCAATGAAGAGTACAACGATTGCGGTACGTGTGAGAAGACGTGTCAAAACAGACATAAATGGAGAAGAATGGGATGTATAGCCGCGTGTTTCCATCAATGTTATTGTAAGAAAGGTTATATAAGAGATAAAAATACGGGCGATTGTGTCCTTCTCGACAAATGTCCTTTGATTGTAAACTCCAATGTGTCCTCACTTTTATTGAACACAATGACAACAATCCAGCCTTCGGGTCCCTCAAAGACACCAGGGACATTTGTAAATAAATGATACCTTGTCAAAAATACTCTAACTATTAACAAAACTCCAATTCAGTAAAAATAAAATCAAATAATTTCTTTATTCAGAGTTTCATTTGTAAATTTAAAAATTTCAATTATAATAAAGATATGTTTGTATTGAACGCGGACTTAAAGTATGGGAAACTTTTTGATGGGATTGGGAGTCATTGATAGTGATGTCTATGGGATCGTCGCCCAAATTGAGTGCAATAACAACAGTCCCTCCGTCTGTGCGGACAAAACTCGTTGTTTGCAATTTATCCACACTTTGATCGTGTGATTGATATACGCGTTGAGAACCGGGAGTCAAGAATTTGCTGTAATGTCCCAAAGCATAGAAAAACGGCTGTTTGTAGTACTCCTCACTCGTGGCGTTCACTATAACGGGTGAATCGACAAAATTCTTGACCCAATTCGGGCCACCGGTTGTGTCCAACGCCAGGTTCCAGTCAACCCATCCGCTCGACCAATGGTTTAGATCCTAATGAATCCGATTTTATTATTATTATATTTATATAAATAATAAAAATATCTAAAGCCTATGAAAACAAACAATTATAATATCTTTGGCGTATCTCTCAAAGAGACTCCAACTTCCGAGTCGGACGTGCTCTGGCTGTCCGTCCCTCCACTCCTCACAGGCCTCAGTACTCATCAGGTATTTGTTTGGATTGACTGCATGTGTCTTATCCAATATGTCGATCACTGCACTGCTATTCTGGTTCTGATACCAATGGAAAGCACTTCCACTCACGTATTTGGCCGCATCTTTGTCGCCGTATATGACTGACGCCCAGTCGTGCAGTTTCTTTATGTTGTCGTCGTATATCATGAGATGTGTAGTATTGATGCCATACCCGGCCTTCTCTAGTGTTGGCCCCAAATCTAATTTTATGAAATCTCGTTGAAGTTCTGGAGTAAAACCTAAACAATTAAATCTAAAGTGCGGTTTGAATGCGTTTAACGGCTCATTGGCTACAGTGAGTCCCCAAACGGATATACCATTGGCTTTATATGTGTCCAGAAATCTAGTATTAGAATTAAAAATAAGACATTAAATGGTTGATTTTGGTAATAATTTTGTTTGCTAACTTAACAAGGTAGTTGGCGTAGGCTTTGTAATGTTTGCCACCGGGTTGTCCAATAATAAAGCCGCCGTCAATTATTTCTGAGTTGTTTTTAAGCCACNTGTCCGCACAGACGGAGGGACTGTTGTTATTGCACTCAATTTGGGCGACGATCCCATAGACATCACTATCAATGACTCCCAATCCCATCAAAAAGTTTCCCATACTTTAAGTCCGCGTTCAATACAAACATATCTTTATTATAATAACTAAATATTTGTTTAATTGTTATTAATATTATGACAATGTTATGAATAAATTGTAAATTATAAAATTATTTAATTATGATAATTATTGAAAGTTATTTATGTAAAGAGTGCAAATGAATCTGGGTTATAATAATTTAATCATACATTTGTTATCTATTTTTACAATGCATTTCCAGAAACACATAACTTATTTAATAATTAATAACTAAAGGAATCAAATGATAAAACAATTGTATTAATGATTAATAATAATTAATCAACACTTTAATTGATAAAATAATAAGTATTAATAATTGATTAAATTATTATAGAATACTCTAAACTAAAGGTTATATAAACGACAACTTTTATATAACTTATTTCAATTTTTAATTAACAGTAAAGTTATAAAAATGAAGAGTTTTATAATTTTATTTAATTTAATAGTTTTTGGTAATAGATAATAATAAATTTCACAAATAATAAATCAATTAATTTGTTATTTATTAGTCTATTGTCGTCAGGAATGCGTTCATCGAGACTATGGCTACGGGTCTACAGTCTGTGTCTGTAATGCCAAACATTGCGATGATTTGGATCCGATTGAGAGGACACTTAAAGGTGTGGTTACTGTCTTCGAGACGAGTAAAAGTGGTCATCGATTCGACAAAACGGAACTCAAGTTTGGATCAAAGTCTGCGATCAGAGCCGCAAAATCGCAGACAATAACTGTCGACAAAAGTAAAGGCGTTTATCAGTCGATCATAGGATTCGGCGGTGCGTTCACAGACGCCGCCGGACTTAACATCAAAGCACTTCCCGAAACGCTTCAAAACCATATAATTAACGACTATTTTAGTAAATCGGGAATTGAGTACACTTTGGGACGAATACCGATCGGCGGCTCAGACTTCTCAACACATGCCTATACTTATGACGATAAATTCAAAGACGACTTTGAATTTAAACACTGGAATCTTACCGCAGAGGACATTAATTATAAGGTTTGTTTTATTAAATTATTAATTATGACAAATAATAATAGTTTTAAAATGTTTTATTAGTTACCATATTTGAAAAGTGCATTAAAAACCAGTCTGAACAAGGTGAGATTCTTCCCGTCGTGCACCAGCGGGGGCCGCACCGAATTTTTGTTGAGTCTTTATTAACTGCCGCCGAAATAATAACCTGTTGGGCCACCGTTTGTAATGTTTCGGATGCGGTTGATGGAACAATTCAATCGTTACAAAATTATTACCAAAATCAACCATTTAATGTCTTATTTTTAATTCTAATACTAGATTTCTGGACACATATAAAGCCAATGGTATATCCGTTTGGGGACTCACTGTAGCCAATGAGCCGTTAAACGCATTCAAACCGCACTTTAGATTTAATTGTTTAGGTTTTACTCCAGAACTTCAACGAGATTTCATAAAATTAGATTTGGGGCCAACACTAGAGAAGGCCGGGTATGGCATCAATACTACACA